TCATCACCATCACCATCACCATCATCATCATCACCATCATCATCATCACCCATCATCACCATCATCGCCACCACCACCACCAGCATCATCATCATCATCATCATCATCACCACCACCATCATCACCATTATCATCACCACCACCATCACCATCACCATCACCATCACCATCACCATCATCATCATCATCACCACCATCATCATCATCACCTACATCATCATCATCATCATGATCATCATCACCATCATCACCATCACCAACACCACCATCACCATCACCACCACCACCACCATCATCATCATCATCATCATCATCACCACCACCACCACCATCATCACCATCATCCTCACCACTATCACCACCCTTACCATTACACCACCATCATCATCACCACCATCACCATCACAATCACCATCACCATCACCATCACCATCACCATCACCATATCACCATCACCATCACCATCACCATCACCACCATCATCACCATCACACCACCATCACCATCACCACTACCACCATCACTATCACCACCATCACCATCACACCATCATCACCATCACCATCACCATCACCACTACCATCACCATCACAATCACCACCACCACCACCACCACCACCATCATCATCATCACCACCACCACCATCATCACCATCATAATCACCATCACCATCAGCATCACCATCACCATCATCAACATCACCTTCACCATCACCATCACCATCACCATCATCATCACCATCACCATCACCATCACCATCATCAACATCACCATCACCATCACCATCACCATCACCATCACCATAACCATCACCATCACCATCATTATCACCATCACCATCCCCATAACCATCGCCATCGCCATCCCCATCACCATCCCCATCACCATCACCACCATCATTACCATCACCATCACCATCATTATCACCATCACCATCACCATCACCATCACCATCACCATCATCACCATCACCAACATCATCACCACCACCACCACCACCACCATCATCATCAACATCACCACCACCACGATCATCACCATCATAATCACCATCACCATAACCATCGCCATCGCCATCGCTATCCCCATCACCATCACCATCACCACCACTACCACCATCACCATCACGATCACGATCACCAACATCACCATCACCATCACCATCACCATCACCATCACCATCACCACCATCACCACCATCACCATCACCATCACCATCACCATCACCATCACCATCACCATCACTATCATCATCATCATCATTATCATCATCACCATCACCATCATCATCACCATCACCATCACCATCACCATCACCATCACCATCACCATCACCATCAGGTTTATAATGGCAAATCTAGACACCTAGGCATTAGACATAGTATGATTAGAGGACTAATCATGGATTGTGTGATTTTGGTTATGTTTGTGAAATCGCAACAAAATTTGGCAGATCACTTGACTAAAGGTTTGATAAGAGACTTAGAAGCCGGTTTGACGACCAGTCGGGGGTCCGGGGGCAGAGCCCCTAGGTCCGAGGTTTCCAAAGGGGCGACGCTCCTTTGGCGGGGTCTAGGGGCAGCGCCCCTAGCTGGGGTCCCGCTGCGAGGTCAGCGGGCGGGGTCAAGGGGCAGCACCCCCGCGGGGGTTGGGGCAGCGCCCCAAAACCTCACTGAATTTTACATGTGAGAACATAGTGGAAAATTCAATTTATTGAGGGTGATTATGGTAAACTAAAGAAATTTGTTAGTTTTGGTAACCCTAAATCCTCATTTTAGATCCGGATTACCCTGACTTGTTTCCAAAGCAACTAATGACGACCCAACCCTAATGAAATCCTAATCCCGTTTAATATATAAACGGTTCTCCCTTCTCATAATAATAATAATAATAATAATAATAATAATAATAATAATAATAATAATAATAATAATAATAATTGTAATAAAATAATAACAATAATAATATTAATTATAATAAAATAATAACAATATTAATAATAATATTAATAATAATAATAATAATAATAATAATAATAATAATAATAATAATAATAAACGGTAGATAAGTGAATAAAAGTGTTAGTGGAAGACATTAGTAAGGATGTGGCATTCCCAGCCAAGTGGTTAAGTTGGTTGTTATGTAACTAATTCACCCGAGATCGAGTCTTAGCACCCCCGTTTTTTTGTTTTTTTGTTTTTTTGTCCTTCTTCAATTTAGGGTTTCTTATTTTTTATTGACTGCCTCCGCCTCCATTTTAGCAGGCTCCATATCGACTCCTACACTTCTTCTCGCTTCTGTCTTCCTCCCTTCTGCCTTCTTTGAACGGTACCCAAAAACCCCTCGTAGCTCGTCCCTTCTCCAGCGCAGTCACCTTTTTTCAGGCGTTCCTTCCCTCTCCGGTAGCATAGTCCTCCGTCATTAACCCTCTTTGCTCGATTTCTTCTCCCACAAACGAAAACCTAGTCCTGATGATCATCGTAAACCTCTTTTCAGGCGTTCCTTCCCTTATGGTGTTGAGTGAAGAAGGTAGGTTGTAGATTGATGCTTCGTTGGTTTATGTCGATACCATAGTTAATGGGAATTGAAGAATTGCAGGTTGGGAGAAGTTTTGGACTCTCTAGATGAGGGAGTTGGAGACGGCGGCCTGGGGTAATCTGGTAATTTTGCAACTGTGAATCTAGTTCTTTCTTGCAAGAACCATACGGGTATTGGTAACCAGTGTTACGTACCCAAGTTGGATCGGGTGTTGTTTTGTGATGGTGAGTCGATTTCAGGCATGAATGAGACTTGATGATGATCGTACCAGATTGGTTCATGCTCGCTTGCTCTCCTGATCATAGCGGGTAGTCGTTTCTTGAAAACCCTACACACCACCCACCCTTCTTCCTGTTTTCAAATAAAAGAGATTGAATTGAATAAACTAGGCATTATATATATATATATATATATATATATATATATATATATATATATATATATATATATATATATATATATATATGATCGATGGTATATATATTAAATCCTCATTGGAAATCTTTGTATTTATCAGTATGTTATTGTATTCCATTTCAGTTTTGTCAAACTTTTCCAAACATAGAAGATGATTTAAATGATTTTCACAGGATAAGTGCTAGGGTTGAGCTAAATAATTGTTGTGTAACTTATTTTGAAGAGCATACATTGGTTATAGTCAAGTGAACCTATATTTTTGGTTGAGTTACAAATTAACTTATATCTGTTTCTTTTGTTGGGATTAGATATATTGTTTATATCTATTTGTTTCTTCTGTTACAGGTTGAAAAGGGAGAAGATGCTACAATAGTCGCTTGAGACCTGTACATGTTGATTTAAAAGACTCTGGTACCTTTTTTACTTTCTTTGTAGTGTAGATAATAAATCGATTTATTGAGCTATGAGTTTATGTTTAGAAGCACTAAATTCGAATATTAGATGTGAAAAGAGAGGAATTTTCTGTTCTTAGGGCTGTTCAAGTTGTAGGTTGCATAAAATGCTTATTTTGAATCAAGCATCAACACACCACCATGTCGTTTGTAGGTTGCATAAATTCTAGAAAATGATTGCTTTTAAATCCAACTCATGTTTATGGGTATCTTGCAACTAAATTTGCTTAAGTGGTTGGAAAGAAAAACATAATCCAAGGACTCTATTTGCATTTGGGTAAGATTAAGTAAACTTTTGTGTAACTACTATGCATCTATGAGTTAGATTTTCACTAATATATTGCTCAATAGCCTTTGGTCATGCTATTATTTTATGATTTCTGCAATTACATAAGCATGATACCCAATTGTTGCAAGATATATGGAAAAGTTTGACAAACTGTTCCCATTTGCTCAATATATATTGTTTCACCTTTGCTCAATGTTCCCAATTATGGCTATAATAAACAAATAAATAAAGTACATTGCTATATTTGTATTTTTCGTGATCATTGATTATGATGTGTTGAAACAGGAACAATTGGCAGCCATTGATTCAAAACTCAAATTGAAGAACACTTGTGAGCCTTTAACGATTCAACATACCCGATAATTTGCCAAGTAATCCACCAAGTAATTCTCAATTTTATGTTTGTAAGCACTTAGTTAAACATTTGTAGTTGACACTTTTAATGTGTATTATTAGACAATGTTCATTAGTAATATGTATTTTGTATTTGATATTTTTTTTAGGTTTATTAGTTTTATTATAATATTATTTGTTTTGTAGTTGAATTTCAATATTATTATAAGTTTAATGTAAATGGTTTTTTCAATATTTTGGACAGAAAAAAACTGGATTTTTTAATAATTCTGTGCTGTTTTTTTTTTAAAAAAAATAAAAAGTAATTAGCTACGGATTACCTACAGAAAACCCATAGCTATTTACTTCCGTAGCAATTCCGTAGCTATTTATTTCCGTAGCTATTTCGTAGCTATTTAGTTTCGTAGCTATTCCGTAGCTATCCATTTCCGTAGCTATTCTGTAGCAAATCCGTAGCTATTTATTTCCGTAGCTATTCCGTAGCTATGGTAGCTACGGAAAATTCCGTAGCTATTCCATAGCAATTCCGTAGCTAATCCGTAGCTATAATTTAGCCACGGGCTATTATGCTACAACCATTTTTCCGTAGCAATTCTGTAGCAATTTGCTTATAGCTACGGAATAGCTACGGATTGTGTTGTAGCTATTGGACTAGTTTTCTAGTAGTGTTGGGTGAATAACACACCAGGTTCAATCCATTATGGGCAGTGTGAGTCTTCCTCCGGTTGTACTTTCACTCCTCTTTGGTGAGCTCCTTGCTAACCGCTTAGTTACCCCATCCGAGCATGTTGCCAAGTTTTACCCATCACTTTGGCGTTTGGTTGTTGTCACCGGTGTGGGGTTGTCTGAAATCAACCCCTCTTTTTCCTAATTTATTGTCTGGTTCATGTTCCAATTGTAGAATTATATTTGTAACCTCTCCACAATCCCTTCTTTCACCTCTACCAATTTATTTGTCGACATCTCCCACCCTATTCTCCAACATATCCATTCTCTCCACCATTTTATTTGTCAACCTCTCAATCCTCTGCACAACCCCTCCTTCCATCTCCACCGTTTTATTTGTCAATCTCTCCATCCTTTTCACAACAATCCCTTCCATCTTCATCATTCTATTCTCCAACATATCCATCCTCTCCACCATTTTATCCTCCAACCTATCTATCCTCTCGTGAAGAAACCCTTTCATTCTATTTACAATCCTATCTTCCATTGTTTCCATCTGATCCACAACCTCCATCTCTACCTTGTTCTTCCCCTTTTCCAACATCTTCAAAATCTCCCTGTCTATCCTGTCATTTTTCTCTGCCTCCTTAGGCACAGGGTTCAGTCTTGTGTCTCCATCCTCATCCTCATCATCAGAATCAGCTGTCTGATCATACCCGTGAGAAGTGCCACAATCTAGACGTGTCACGCTGTTGTAGTAGTCCATCTCATTGGTTTCTGGCAGCAACATATCAGAATCATCTGCCTGATATCAAAACCAAAAATATATAACTACCAATCGAGAAGACTCATGAACAATCATCACATTTGAAAAAAGAAAAATAAACAATTTTTTTATGATGACAATTGGAACTGAAAAGTAAACATACTACCACTTTATAAGAACATATAAAATAAGCAGCATCTGCTTCAAATTCAGTTTGTCAGGTCCTCGTTTGGTTGTATGGTTTTGTTGATACCGGTCAAGCTGTGGACCACTATGGACTATGGAGACATGTAATTTTACGTCTTATTTGTGTTGGAAGTTCACATATTATCTAACTGATGTTATAGTAATTAACCAGTTTCACAATTTTCCAACAAGTGTTAAGACATTCATAAGTTACCTTCACAATTTTCACATGTGTACGTATATCACACCACTGACTTTCACATAAAAAGTTTAATAATCCTTGTACAAATATTAGTGAAATTCATTAATTAAAAAAAAAAAAAAAAAGATTACCTTATAAGCATCCCAAAGTTGTTTTTGCACGAGTTCACTCGATGTTAGACCCGAAAGCTCCCTTGGTCGAAACATTTATGGCAATGGATGTGTAGCCTTCACGCTCTGTTTAATGTTCAAACCAAACCACCGACGCTTCTTGTTTGCACTAACCTGAAGAAAAAATATTGTGATTCAGTTCATGGCTTCAATCCTATCAACTTTCATTGATAGAGAAACAAAATGGTGGCAGGGCTGCATAAAGAGTGTTTAACCATTACCATCGTTGCATCCATTGCATATATTTTTAGAACATCTTCCTTCTTCCATATCCTACTATGTTTTTCAGGATTTTTAGGGTGTTCTCCTCTAACAATGTAGTGTGCCAATTCTTGTACCAAGTCATGCATATCAAACTCTCCATCTTCTGTAATAGTTATGAGAGCCTTTTGTACCAGCACCTTTATGCCTCTAAGAGGGTGAAAGCCACAAGCATCAAGTATCAACATTGCACGTTCAATTTTAAACCCCCTTCCGAAGAAACGTGCAATATCAAGGAACAACTCTTTCTCAACCTTTGTAAGTCCATCAAAGCTAATTTTTAGAACTTCCAAAATATTAGCATATGGAATTTCTTTCAATCTAGCCAAGGCACTCCTCCACTCATTCATCTCTTTGTCACATAGAAAACTACTGAGAATTCTAAGTGCTAATGGAAGCCCACCAGCATAATAGACCACCACTTTTGAAAGCAGCTCATAGTCTTCTATAGGTCTGCCATTCCGGGGTGCATGCTTGCGAAAGAGGTTGGTGGCCTCATCATCATTTAACAAGCAAATATTGTGTATCACATTTACTCTGTGTGCAACTAACAAATGTTGATCTCTAGTCGTGATTATTATTCGGCTTCCTTCACCAAACCAGTTTCCTGATCCAGCTAATGCTTCTAGTTGGTCAAGGTGATCAACATCATCAAGAACAATCAACACCTTTTTATGGCATAACCTAAGCCTTATCATGTGTTTTCCTTCCTCAACTCTCGTTACATGCACTTGTTCTTGTTTCAAAACACCACAAAGAATTTTTTCTTGCAATCTTTCTAAACCGTCTTTATTACATGATCCCTCCCGAACATTTTTTATAAAGCAACAACTATCAAAATTGCTAGAGATGTCATCATAAACAGAAGAGGCAAGAGTAGTCTTGCCACCACCCCCAACCCCCCATATTCCAACCATGCACACACCATCAAAACCAAGTTCGAATGCTGAAATCAATCCTTGCTTGCGAGCCTCTATTCCGATCAGGTTGCCATTCACATTTGAAATATTCAGATTTGAAACATCTTGATGCAACCTCTCCAAAACTGTGTCAACAATTACTTCAATGCACTTTGCCTCATGCCTACACATTAAATATTCAAAGATCATTAGCACAAGCTCACAATCACATTGACAAAGAACATCACTAGCTAGTTCCATTTTCCCTGATATAAGGCAGTCATAAGTACCTCTTAGATTTCACATTTAGGATAGCACTTGTAAAATCAGTATCATAAGTGATTTGTAGCAAGCTTCATAAGAGAGATAAAATAGACTGAAATAGCAAATTACATAACATAGTGGGCTTATCATTAGAGCTGCATGTGAGTTTGAAAGTATGAACTTAATGTTACAATTCAGTGAAGTCCAATGTTACTTAGTTTGAGCTAATTCGTAATCATATTTCGAATAGGCACTACAAAATTACATATGTATTTTATATGTACCATACAAGCATGTAATTCATAATAGCTCAGCTTTCATAGTAGATAAATATTTACATATTTACTGCCATATTGTCTAATAAAAACATTTATTCCTTAACGTAAACTGTGAGATATATTCAGTTAGTTCGTATATCCATAATGTTAAGCAAAGGTCTCCAATGTTTTAATCTGCAGATTGTACTCAACAAAGGTAAAAGTACATAAGCAATGAAAATATACAGAAAACAAAAATATGAAGTGACACAAAACAATAATGCAAAGGACTTTGATACTAATTTTTCAATTCCATTTTAATACAGGGTTTTTAATCAAAAATGTTTTTTTTTTTTGGATTTTAGTTAGTACAAGTACAATTCTGTGGATCGTTGAACATGACCAGTTGTTCTCTACAGACAAATACTTTATCATCAAGTGTTTGGCTTTATCCTTTAAACGCTTACAGGGTACAAGTATAAAGTCACATTTAGCAGACATATCTTAGGCTTGAAAACTGCAAAAGCGGAAAATTACCCATTGGCAATTCGTTAGGTTTCCAATCCAGATATGCTACATGCATACACAAGTGCTTTTCTCCAGGATTTAGCTTTCTTTTCGTTCTTCAGCTTATGTTCAAAGAGTGCTTCTCCACATTTCTGTATCACTGAGGGACTGACCTTATGAAAGATGGGGATAACTATTAGCCCTCTTGTATCTCTGCATTTCATAATATGTGAAAGCTCCTCTAAGCACCATGAAGAATTTGCAAAGTTTTTAGAGAATACAATGATGGCAATATATGAGTCTTTGATCGCCTTCATAAGGGATTGCCTGATTAATTCGCCCCTAGGAAGTGTTTCGTCGTCCTTGTATGTGGAGATCCCTCGTTGTAGAAGAGCTTTGTAGAGATGATCCACAATGTTCTTACGAGTATCCACTCCTCTAAAACTAATAAAAACATGGTACTTCCACAGCTGATAAGAAAAGGCAGGCACTGAAGGAGAAGATGGTGATGAAGATGCCATTGTTGTGTTGATTTGTTGAGAAAGAAATATACACTGAAAGAAACTATTAAAAAAAATGTAAGTTTCCAAAGAAATTTAGATTAGCATAAAGGTCAAGAGATTTCAATTAAACTATGATCAAGTGAGGAGGTATTACTATCTGCATTGAGAGGGTAAAAAAATACTTAAATGTAGATGCAAGTCAACAATACTAAATGTTAGTAGAAGGAAAATTTTTAAAAATAATAAAAAGAACATTACCAGCAAAGATTTTAACATATTTATTGAAGTTTTATTTTAAAATTTTAAAGTACACCATTTGTAATTGTACTTTTTGGTTTTATGTTCAGACCTTAATTAGAAATACTATGGGCCTCTCAATTTTTTCCCCATTTAAGTCTTTTACGTCTGGCCAGACAAATACAAATAGAATATTTCCTTTTGGTCCGAATAATCTGTCAAAACATGAATAAATGACCATTTTAACCTTAATGTTATGAAGTTGTGCATCTGTAAACATAAACGTCAACCCCATTTGGACTTTATGTTCAAGTGTTCAAGCAACAATTTCAATTTAATTAAAGCATAAAATTACCATTTCACTTGCAGCTGTAAAAAAAATTCATCAAATCCCAATCCGAATGGGTGTAGAAGAAGCAAATGAATAAAGGACGCACACCAATTCCACAACAGTAGGACCAATTTCGTCTTAAAGTTGACAAAATAGCAAACAATGTAACCAATTCTACGGCACAAAAGGACTAAAAAGTTCACACCAAATCGAATTGTAACCCTGATTCTAACGAGACTGGCTCATAAGGCATTCACAAACCTATATTGCGAGCGGAAAAGGAACTTATGGTGCGTAACAGACCCTCAATTCAAGAAATATAAAAATTATGTTAAAACTATCACCCTATATTTATGCGAAATATATATATATATATATATATATATATATATATATATATATATATATATATATATATATATATATATATACTACTACTTATAAAAGAAATCTAACTATTTCTATAAATAGATTGAATATAATAATAATATTTTTTTAAAACGTTCAAACTATTAAGCTTGAAGTACAACCCATTTATAATATAATAATATTAAAACTTTAACCCTATCATTTATCCCCTAAAAATCTTGTATCAAATTAATAGAAGAATTCATTTGCAAATTGAACCCGTCAATCTCAACACTTCAGCCATTTGAAGCGGTCAATATCAACAATTCATAGAGGATCTCTTCTCTCACATTGGTAACAAGTCATCTCCTAATATCTATCTTCGTAATCCCTTCAAAGTAATAAATATACGCACAATCTCTCGAAGAACCCTAACCAGTAACCAAGACAGTATAACCACCACCACCACAGCCGCTCTGCCTCCTTCCTCCTTCAACCAACCACTATCACGACTACCGCCCTTCCTCTCACCCACGACATAAATTTTCTTTTGGAACATAACATTTTTCTTTAAAAAAATATCATTGAAAGAAGCTATTTGTCCCCGCCGCTATGCGTGGGTAACGGCTAGTATATATATATATATATATATATATATATATGTGTGTGTGTGTGTGTGTGCGCGCGCGCGCAACAGACCCTCAATTCAAGGAATACAAAAATTATGTTAAAACTATCACCCTATATGTATGCGATATATATATATATATATATATATATATATATATATATAAAGAGGAGACGACTATTTGATGTATGGATTACAGAATTGAAAATTTAAGCAAAATGTTTATGGTGCAATATAACGTATTGAAAATAAAAAATCAACACATATATAAGATCTGCAACTCAGGCTTACGTGATGGAGAGCACCGAGAGGATGAGACCGCAACGGAGAAGATCCGGAGAAGATGAAGATAAACCTAAATCGATTCTCCGATTTCAGTTCCTCTCGACGGTGAGACGGAAACGTTAAACGGCCCGAGAAGATAACGGCGCTGGAGAAGACGAACAAAGCTAGACAAAAAATAGATTAGTAGAAACAGACGGAACCAGCGTTTGAAAGGAGAAGGAAAAGGGCAGGAAGGGGGGAGGAAATCCCTCTGTGTATGGAATGAATAACGATTCCAACGAAGGCATTAATTTTTAAAATAATAAAATAGTTTATATATATATATATATATATATATATATATATATATATATATATATATATATATATACATACTAGCCGTCTACCCGCGCAAAGCGGCGGGGCACGTGAGTTCTTTCGGTGATATGTTTCCATTACAAAATTGTTATGTTAAAAAAAAGTACATGTTGAAGACAATATAATCAAACTATGGTGTTATTTGTTACATCATGCATCAAATAACCAATAAAAAGCAACCAGTCAAGACGACACAAAATATTAATCGTGCAATACTTCTTTATATACCACATTTGCTGTATAAACCCCATCACCTTTTGAATTTTCGTTAGGCTTTACTAATACTTTTGTATTGCAACGTGAAACCCCTCTGGACAATGCAACATAAAGTTGTCCATGCGAGAATACTGGTTCTGGAAGATAGATACCTACATATGGAATTGTTTGTCCCTGAGCTTTATTGATTGTCATTGCAAAGCACAATCGAATAGGAAACTGTTTCCTCATTAGAGGATCGATGGTTGCTACTAATTGCTTGTAACTGGTATTGGTTTCATATCGATGGATGTGGATTCGCATATGAAATCAATTGTGTTCGCATCTATGAAATCAGTTCGCATATGACAACAATTGAGTTCGCATTTGGTTTTGTGGGTCAAAACAGTTCGCATAAGAAGTTCACGATTTGTTTGAGGTTAATTGATTTTGATTTCGCAAGCTTGGAGTCGGAGATCTGGATTGTGTTCGCATCTATAGAATGCGAGGAGAATTTAATGGTGATATTCAGTTCGCATTTGGTGACACAAGTACGTGGTTGATGATTTTTGGTTGGTTCGCATTTGAAATCAGTGGGTTTCGCATTTGGGTTCGTATCTGGGTTTCTCAAACAACTGAAATGCGAATATGAGACAACTGATTAATTTCTCAGTTAATGCGATGAAATGCGAATGAACTCAAAGACGGATGGATGCAAGATGCGAAGAATTTGAATGAAAATGCGAAGTTTTTAATGTATAAATGCGAATTGGGGAAGAAAGCTTAGAGTTTCGCATTTGGCACCTGATCTTTTCAAGAAATAATATACGTGGTCCAACTTCGCAAAATGGGGTCATTTAATCAGAAAATCGATCATTCTTCAAATATGACATTTAATCAGAAAATCGATCTAAAAATGAGACATTTGGTGTTTATCGATTTTTCAGGGTCGATGGGTTGTATGAAAAGCGAAGGATGAGTAATTGAAAATTAGAGGATCGATGGTTGCTACTAATTGCTTGTAACTGGTATTGGTTTCATATCGATGGATGTGGATTCGCATATGAAATCAATTGTGTTCGCATCTATGAAATCAGTTCGCATATGACATCAATTGAGTTCGCATTTGGTTTTGTGGGTCAAAACAGTTCGCATAAGAAGTTCACGATTTGTTTGAGGTTAATTGATTTTGATTTCGCAAGCTTGGAGTCGGAGATCTGGATTGTGTTCGCATCTATGGAATGCGAGGAGAATTTAATGGTGATATTCAGTTCGCATTTGGTGACACAAGTACGTGGTTGATGATTTTTGGTTGGTTCGCATTTGAAATCAGTGGGTTTCGCATTTGGGTTCGTATCTGGGTTTCTCAAACAACTGAAATGCGAATATGAGACAACTGATTAATTTCTCAGTTAATGCGATGAAATGCGAATGAACTCAAAGACGGATGGATGCAAGATGCGAAGAATTTGAATGAAAATGCGAAGTTTTTAATGTATAAATGCGAATTGGGGAAGAAAGCTTAGAGTTTCGCATTTGGCACCTGATCTTTTCAAGAAATAATATAAGTGGTCCAACTTCGCAAAATGGGGTCATAAAAAGACAAGTGCAGAATTTTCATTTCGCATCCCTGTAGTCTTCGCAAAATGGAAAATTTTACCCAGTTTCGCATTTGGGGTAAATTTTTTTGAGAAATTGGAATATTTTCAAACTTTTTTTCTTAAAGAAAACACATTGTCTTCGTCTAAGAGAGGGAGAAAAACGATTAGGGTTTATAAGGGAAATACTTCATGGCAGTGGGATTTATAGCAGGGTTTATAAGGTGGAGAGAACAAACACACGTCTGCTATGAGATATTTTAATCAGCTGCAAATGCAACATTTAAAGGATATTTGTTGAAGCGTATTAGGATGAAAAGGTTTTAAATTTTGAATGACCATCAAATTAGGATTTTGCTGAGAAATATAAGGAATCAAAACAAATTTAAAATTTAATATTATTTTATTAATGGTTGTTTGTAATATTAGCTTACTCGTTTGTACGTCTTAAAAAAATAATATTATTATATTCAATCTATTTATAGAAATAGTTAGATTTCTTTTATAAGTAGTAAAGATATATATATATATATATATATATATATATATATATATATATATATATATATATATATATATATATATATATGTTCAGGTTCATTTAAGACCATTCTAATTTTTTGAGACCGTGAGACCAAATCTAAAAATAATTTTAAAATGCAAAATAAATGGAAAAATCCAAAAAAAAAAATTTAATATTATTTTCGGAACTTGAATTAACTAAAAAAAATATAAAAATAAATAAAAAAAATTCCGTTTTTTTTTTTTTGAAAAATACGTGAAATATTCTAAATAGAATATTAAACTGACATATTCTAAAAAATAATTTTAAAATGCAAAATAAATGGAAAAATCTAAAAATTCTTTTTTTAAATATTATTTTCGGAACTTGAATTAACTAAAAAAAATAAAAAAAAAATTCTATTTTTTTTGAAAAATACGTGAAATATTCTAAATAGAATATTACACTGTACATATTTCTAAAAATAATTTTAAAATGCAAAATAAATGGAAAAATCAAAAAATTCTTTTTTTAAAT